AAGAAAAAGAGGGGAAAAAAAAATAAAAAAAAAAAAAAAAAAAAAAGTATTTCTTAATGTCAAGGTGGAAGAGAAAGGCTGTCATAAAGACAATATATTAGGACCGGCAGGTGGTGTGGTCCTTGGGGAGTTGGTTTCCCACATGGCGACCATAGTACGGTTTGAGAACCTGGTGGCTTCCTTTCTCATTTTCCCTATCTCTCTCTCTGGTCAAATTAAAATAAATAAATGAAAACATAAAAATAAATAAATAAATAAAACCCACACCAAAAAAAAGAAAAAAACACTTATTTTTCCTAGGTCAGCCAGGTGGCTTGGTGGTTAAGGCAGCTGGATCTGAAATCGAGCAGGGGCTCCCTAAGAGGGATGAGTCCTCAATTTCGCGTTCTGTTGAAGAAAAAATAAGAATTTCCCAAACTGGGGACCAGTAGGTGGCATAGTGGTTCAGGTGTTGGACTCCCAAATGGCCGACCGCAGTTGGAGTTCTGGTCCTGACAGCTTGCTTTCTCACTTTCCCTCGCCCTGTCTCTGGTGAGCACATGTGTCCTATAGAAAATTTTTAAATAATAATTTTAAAAAGGAATTAAAAAAAAGAATTTCCTAAACTGAAAATTAGTAAAGACTAAACTAAGAGTAAAACGTCTTTACTAAGGAGCTTGGAATACAAGGTTCATTTGCATTGTAATGACCCCAGAGTAAGGGGTAAGACTTCAGACTTTGGTTATGGTAATGAGGCAACACTGGCCTTGAATGAGGGCCTTTAGACCTCTAAAACTCTCACTTAAAGGAAAGATAAGGTTTTCATTTCAATATGTAAGATGTTTTGCAGGATTGGAAACGGGCTAGCTGAGAGCTCAAAGACCCCAGGCTGAATGGCTCCAGAAAACTGACAGAAATTTGATTACCTAAGGCCTCACCAATCAAGAATGCCCATGATCATGCCATCTCGAACCAGTCATTGAACTGATCATGTGCCTGAGACCCCTACCACCCCTAATCTTGCCCTTAAAAATGCATGTCGGGAACACATCGGGGAGACCGGGTCTTTTCAGCATGAGCTGCCAGCTTTTCTTGCTTTGCACATTGCAATAAAGCTGTACTTTTCTTCATCACACCATGTGCCGATGATTTGGTTTATAGTGCTTGGGCAGGTGAACGTGATTTAAGTTCTGTAACAGATCCCACATGACTGAGTGCAAGGTTTGAGTCTCGAACCTGGTGGCTTGGAAAATATGCCAGGCCCTTGTGCATGCCCAAAATCCTGAGAGGAAAATGGAGGAGAGGAGATTGTGACGTGACCATCCCCTTAATGAGAGGTTTCTCACTTTTTGTCTCTCT